AAGACTAGCAGCAATTAAGTTTTGGATTGGTATCAAAGTAAAGTATAAATATGTACGTATAAATATTTATAATTTATAATCTGTATATGGAAATAGTTTGAAGGTTTAAGATTTGAACCCGTAATATAAACTGTTTAATATAACCCCGGCCCCCATAACAATGCAATTTTGGCTCTGTCACTATGTACACCGATTATTATCGACGATGGCGAAGTTATGAAAAAAGAGGAGCGAAATTAACCTTTGGCGAGGAAGCCAGTTGCGCCCGTGATAAGAATGGACTTGCCCACAAGAAATTCCATCGACGGGAATTGAAGAAGCTTAAAGTATGAGCTAGCTTAGTTGTTTGATGGGTTTGGGAGTAAATATTGATTTGCAAGCTAGGCTAAAAAGATGAAAGGAGTGTGTCGATGAAAAAGGTAAGGGCTTTGGGTGGGGTATATATACGCAAACGGTGGTTGATGATCGGTGTAACTGTGCAAGTGTGGAGCCGCGCGCATTTGTTCTACTCTCATTATTGAACCGCCTACGTCTGTCCCATTCAAAAGTTCCAAATAATTATTGGTCAACTTAAATCATTTTTAATCTTTTACTTTATATATTGAATTTTTATCAAATTTACAATTTTTTTATCAGGCTTTGTAGCGATTTTAATGTTATATCTGAATATGTAAATTTTATTTACTAAAAATAGTCAGAGTGTGAACATGAATCAAGTTGTTTTATCGTCAGTCAAGAGTCGTAAACCGAATCGGAAACCTCTCTATGGGACAAAGGAAGTATATTTTCAACTTTTCATGATTAATACTACGTAACTCATTATCATCACTATCAAATTAATTAAAAAATCACAATTATGATTTCTGGGGCTAATATTAGTTACCACATCTTGAGTTAATCATTTGCTTAGCGTACAAATAGAGGTCATTTTAATTTTTGAAAAATGATTTTACAAATTAATTTTGGGGTACAAATAGAGGTCATTTTAATTTTTGAAAAATGATTTTACAAATTAATTTTTAGTCACTTTGGAACTAAAATAAGTAAAGTACCGACTTCTCAATTTTAATGGGAACGTTTCCACATATTACTTGTAGAAAACCATTTTGAAATGAACTAGAAGTATCCCTTGAAATTCTCTTAGAGGCAAGGTTCATGTAGGACTTGTCCCGCATTGCTGCCGCCATCATGCATCTTTGAGTTTGCCAATGTCCTTTAGCAATGTGTAGAAATTGTTACATCTTGTGCCACAAAGGGGAAAACACTTTTGACACGAAAGCTGAGAAAAGTAAAAATGTAACACTTGAGATTTAATATAAACGGATTAATAGTACTACTCATACCAATAGAGGTGCATCTCTTTTTAAGGGAGCTCATCACCCAAGAACTCCAAAGTTAAGCGTGCTTGCACGGGAGTAGTCTTGGGATGGGTGACCGACCCCCTGGGAAGTTTCTCAGGGCGCACACGAGTGAGGACAAAGTGCACAGAAAAGGCTAGTGGCGGTTTGTGGGGACAGTACTATTGGTCTGGAGTAACTACCTCGGGTCCTACGGGGCCGGGGTGTTACAAAAAATTTGTAGTATTTGGTAAATAAGTGTTTTTTTAAGCTAAAAGCTCATAAGTGCTTTTTTAAACAATTGCAAACACTCCCGTGTACGTTCTTATGCATGTAATTATTCGTTCTCGTATTGGTATCTTCATAAAAAAATTGATGGGGTATCTACATCAATTTTGTTAAAACATAAAAAAGTAATTGTGTTCAAGTTTATGTTTAAGCATGCTTTAAAGTTTTGAATGGTTGGGTTCACTGTCTTTAATCAATCCATCGCATGATCTACTCCGTACTATTTTCTGAGTACCACCAATTTGACACGTGATTTTGTATATTTTTTGTTAGTTTGTTCATCCATCTACGTCGAACATTTATATACGGAGTATATATTCGTTTTGTATAAACACCTTTTATTTTCGCATGTTCATTTTTCACCAGTGTACACTGTGGGAGCAGTCGCGGAGCCACTCTTGTTCAAAATGTTAGAAAATTGATGTAACGTACATCGAAAGTATAGCAGCGAAAGTTTCAAATTTCACCAAACAGATCTTTCTTAATTATGACAAAACAATGAATATAACAATAATAATGGATCTGAGTTAGAATTTACAGATCTTCCAGCCTAGCGGTGATAATCCTTGACCTTAGGTGTGCACATGATTTCTCATTTCCGAAAGAACGGTTAGATCTCCCATAGAAAAAACTAGGAATTTTTTTCATGGGGAAATAAATCGGTAATACTAAATCTGGAAACTATACACAATAATTATGAAAGAGGATGATGTGTTTATACTAGTTCTAAGCTAGTTTTCCAATCACAATGAAAGACTTTCTCATTAATGAATTCTAGTCCTAACAGGACCAATAATTATTAATAATTTCATTTATTAAATAAACAAAACAAAATAAACTAATAATAATAACAAAGTGGCTGCACGTCACTTTACTTGTTATTATTATTGGGGTTTTTATTTGAATATTACTAATTTTGAACCAATTACCAAAAAGTAAGGACTTTAAAAAAGAGGCAAAAAAGTGATCAAGAAGATCATATTAATGTCATTCCAAATTTTAATGTCACTATCCTGTTTTAATGTCATTGCCGCCACTGCCCGTGTCACTGCCGCTACCGCCCGTGTCACTGTAACCACCGCCCGTGTCACTGCCGCCACCGCCCGTGTCACTGCCGCAACTGCCCGTGTGAAAGTAGGATTTTTTTTGTCACTGTTATATGTCACTATCAGATTTTTATGTCACTTTTAAAATGTCACTACAGATTTTCATGTCATCGTACCACCGGAAAACGTGTCACTGTGTTGCCGGAAACCATCGCCCTGCCTCCTCGACACCACCGCCATCGGTGAGACCACATACAGCCCCTCCCCTGCACCCCCATGCCCCTCCCCTGCCCTGGTGGCCCTTCTCCTGCACCCCCAGCCCCCTCCCCTACTCCCCCAGCCCACTCCCTTGCTCTCCAGCCCCCTCCCAACCCACCTGACCTGCCCCCAACCACCCAAGCAACCAGTTTACCATCGGTCGTCGCCCAGCCTACATTATTGCGAACCCAACACTAGCCCCCAATCGATACTACCAAACCCTAGCCTCAATCCTAGCATCTGATTCCTGAACGAGAAGAAGGAAGGAGGAAAATAAAACATACGATGGAGATGCAGAGACGATTAGAGGCAGCGGCGAGTGACAACCAGAGGCGGAGATGGCGACAAAGATGAGGAGTCGTTCACAGATCCGGGGAATAGATGATGATGAAGGAAGATGCTCTGCAAACAAGGAAGATCGTCCGGAAAATCTAAGGCGAGGCGGATGCGAGGCGGAGCAAAGTTTCGGCGGCGACAAGTGGAATAGATGGTGGAGGCGGCGTGTCTGTGGAGGGGGAGGGAGAAGAGACGCAGGGAAGAGAAGCGACACAGGAGAATGGAGAAGACGTGCGGTTATCAGAGCCTTTTTACATTTTTACTTACTCCCTAAATTTGTTCACTTTTTTTTCAAAATCTGTCACGCCCCGGACCGCATCCGTGCCACGTAGACAACCGCCGTACAACCCAATAAGAACAACGTAGTTCATTCTTATTAAATCATACAAGGCGTCTGATAGATTCTGTTGCCAAACCGATTAGTAAACCCATACAATCAACATCAATATATTACTCAAACAAATGCGGAAATAAAATATGTTTGATGATTAGCCACATGTGGCACACATGAGCACGCAGGCCCTTTAATAGTTTAACAGAAAACATTGTTCAAATATCCATGAACAATTACATTGTTTCAAATAAGAATGGAAGCACGAACCACGTCTTCCTTATTGATGATCACCCTAGGCAAAGGTGCAGGAATAGGTCTCAAGCCTTAACCTGAAAAATGTGAGGCCCCCGAAGGGGTCAGTACTCCTAACCATATCTATAATGTGGTTTCAATTGCATTTACAAATATGCGGCCAAATTTTTACAGTTACCTCATTTATTTAAGAAGTTAAGCAATTTCGTCTAGTAGTTAAGGATTATCTACTACTTGATTGTTCCTAACTTCGGATACAATGTTGTGTAATTATCTGTGATGGAATATAACAATTACTAATATACAAAATCGGTCACCATTTAGACACAATATTCACTTTTTAACTCATTCCTTATTTTCTTTAAACACCAAACCCAAATTGTCATTACTATTATTCTAATCTGATTCTAATCTGAGATACTCCAATCAACAATAACTTATAAGAGAATATATATAACTTGTAACACACAAAACTTAACTTTTAACAAAATAAATTGTTGATAATAGTGGTAAAGAATCATTATAAAATCAACGCATGTGCCGTTGTTGGTGGTACTCAAGGCCTCAATGGAAAATGTATTATTCCTTATTTTGTTAGTATGAAATTTTTGTTAGAAGTTATGACTTTATATATATAAGTTATTGTTGTGGGGCAATTAGTATATGTTTAAAAAGGGTTATTTTCTATCAGTTTTACTAGTTCATTGTAATTTTTTATCTTAAAAACTTATGTGATAAATATGTTCCAAGTGCTACATATTTGCATGGTACTCTCATATGTCCTTATTTTATCACTATGAAGGTTTACTTTTGATTTAGAGTTGTAAAGCTATAAGTTATTAAATGTTTTTAGAAGTTAACTTATTGGTTTACTTAGTGTATGTGTACTGTGATTTGTACGAATTCTCTTTTAGTGTTTCTATTTAGCTGTTACTAGCAAAATGACAATGGAAGAATGTTTTTTATTATTGCAGGGAGAGAGTATTATATATGTATATATATATCGACTTTATTTACATTTAAGGTTGTGATATTTAATCATGCCATTTTTCTTCTTTGTCCGAGGGGTGAAAAATACTTCTTTTGGAGAAGTAACTCAAGCTAATAAGTGCACAATTCAAGTCTGCCTAAAATTAAAATGTTTTTTGGCAGGTTTGTAGTGGGTGTCTCCCTTTCAGAGTAAACTTGCAGGCTCGTCGGGTGGACTGCCCGGGTTCTTGTTGCTTGTGTGGAGAGGATTCAGAATCTCTAGATCATCTTTTTCGACAATGCGCATTTACCCATGAAGCTTGGAGATATCTGTCCTGGCAGTGGACTGGATGGGAGGATCGTTCTTTCATGGAGCAGATCAACCTGGAATTTCGGACTAAGAGAAAGGAAGTGCTGGAGATATTGATTTGGGGTGCTGGGCTCGTGTGTGGTAGGGAAAATCCGTGGCAGCTAAGCAGCCTGTACTTCGTGCTCAAGCCATGGTGGAAGGCTGGAATTGTGCCCAAGTAGCTCGCAGAAGTGCGCCAAAACAGAGTGCAAAGAAGTGCACGACGTGGTGTAAACCATCTCCAGGAATCTTGAAGCTCAACATTGATGCTGCAGTTCGTTCAAATGGTTGCGGAGTTGGCTTCCTACTCGTACCAAGCTTTCTCTGACTGATGGGGATCTGTTAGCAGATCCGACTGAGTATAGGAGTATGGTAGGAGCACTACAGTATTTAACCATGACTCGACCTGATATTACTTATGTTGTTCACCTGGTTTCCAAATTTATGCATGCTCCCCCTACTACACATATTTTGGCTGTTAAGCGAATTTTCAGGTATTTACAAGGGACGACTGATTTTAGCTTACTTCTTCAGCCGAGTTCTGCGGCACCTACTATCCTGGCTTATTCAGACGCTGATTGGGGAGGATGTCCAGACAGCAGCAGGTCCACGTCTGGTTTTGCTATCTTTTTCGGTCCAAATTTGGTGTCCTGGAAGTCCAAGAAACAGCCTACCGTTTCCCGATCTTCTACAGAGGCAGAATATCGTGTTATTGCTTATGCGGTTCAAGATACTCTTCACATTCTCTCTATTTTGTTCGAGTTGGGCATCTCGGTTGCTCATCCTGTTCAGCTTTTATGTGATAATGTGTCTGCTTCTTATCTCTCTTCAAATCCTATTTAGCATGCTCGTAGCAAACACATTAATATAGATTATCATTTTGTTCGGGAAAGGGTGGCTCATGGTGATTTACAAGTCAAGTTTGTTCCTACTGAGCTCCAATTGACTGACATCTTCACAAAATGTTTATCTCCACAGCGCTTTACTTTTTTACGTGACAATCAGCGCATTGCCCCCCCTGCACGGCTTGAGGCAGTGTAATAATGTATTTATTAATGATTAATTAGGTTGTCTAATTATAGTAGGAATCTTAATGTATCTATGACTCTTTTTTATAAATAATACTTCTGGGGCTGCCATTAAGGTACACTTCCTCATTATTCTCACATGATCTAGTTTAATCTGATGTGTTTAATAATGATTTTAGTTTTGTACATATTCTATATGTAGAGAAGTGATCAGGTCCAGCCGGAGGGACGGGAGGCGCCGTCCGAACTCCGCCGTTTGGGGCGTTTCCCGGTGAAATTTTTTGATGAAATTTTTTGAGCATGTTCTTCATCAAGTCTAGTTTGTTCATACCAAATTTCAGCTCAAAATTCGACCGGGAAGGCATTCAAATCATTTTTTGAAGTTGACTGCGCCAAAATATACATATAAAAATGCAGTCAACTTCAAAAAATGATTTGAATGCCTCCCCGGTCGAATTTTGAGCTGAAATTTGGTATGGACAAACTAGACTTGATGAAGAACATGCTCAAAAAATTTCATCAAAAAATTCCACCGGGAACTGCCCCAAACGGCGGAGTTCGGACGGCGGCTGGACCGGGGAGGGCTGGACCTGATCTTTTTTGTCTATATGTACTCTATAACTAGCTATGGAGGTGTATTGTTGACTGATTTGATCTATACTAATTTGATGTTAGAACAGGAGGATAAATTAGTAAAATACAAGGGTGTAAATATGGCTTGGACCGGATATCACTTCTAGTCACGTATTAAATACGCTTTCCTAAAAGTTTACTATCTACCCTTATCACAGTAACCGAGTTACAAGATAGAACTTTTGGGATAAAAAGAAGGTGTGCAGTGTATTTTGGTTACTAACAAAATAACACTAAACAAGTGATTTGTACATAAAAGTGGTCTAAATATTTTATCACTATTACTGCAGTTAATAACGATAAAATCAGGCAAAGCAAGATGACAAGTATTTTGTTCGTACTCATCAATTTAGCATAAAAAATTCCTTTTGTACACGTTTTTGTACCCATCAGTACACGCATGTGTCTGTGAGAGTTTTTTTTTGTCTGTGAAGTGCGGTCCACAGACATAAGTTCGCTTGTTTTGTCTGTGGAAAATTTCACAGACAAAACAAACCAGCTTTTGTCTGTGGACCGCACTTCACAGACAAAAAAAAACTCTCACAGACACATGCGTGTACTGATGGGTACAAAAACGTGTACACCAAGAATGGTTGATTTAGCATGGCCACTTAATTTATAGATGAATAGCAACCTTTGAAAAGAAGCAACCGAAGTGTGCATGGCGGTTAAGCCACAAACGGTTTTGATTTTTACAAAAAGACATGTACATTCTTTTTTTAAAAAATCATTTCCTTTTCATTTAATATAAAATATTCCAACATCCTCATAAAATGTTGCAACCACATGTCATCCACTAAAATGTAGAATTTAATATGGAGTATTTGAAATGAACTTTTTCAAATAAAATAATACTCCCTCCGTCCCCTTAAGTTTGTCCCGTTTTACCTTTTTCGTCCGTCCCACTAAGTTTGTCTCATACCATATTTGGTAACATTTGAGTGGTTAGAATTCATTCTTACTTTATTTACACTTTAACAATTCAATATCAACCACACAATTCCACTTTTTCTTAAAAACCACACCACACCCCTCCGTCCCAAACTTAGAGGGACGGAGGGAGTATTATTATTTACAATATGAAACCACACGTGCACAAGTGTTTTCATAATATAAATAATAAGAATCATTATATTAAAATAACATCATTTTAATAAATCACATAATTTGTTTATAAAATGACTAAGGACCATATAAATTAACAATTGAGTTTTATTTTCAATAAATCTCCAACAACCCTCCTCCATTTATTGAAAATAAATATACTCAATCCTTTCCAAATAGACCACTTATCAAGACTTATGCATAATTGAAAGTGTCGTAACGATTGAACTTTCATTTAGTGCAATATTCTTTACAATATTTCGGATCATAATAGTAGACTAAGCTTTGAACTATATAACCACTTTGAAATATTGAAGATATTACACACACAAATCTTTATACAATTTCACTTAGAAACTTGACACTATTAATGGCCTTGTGTCCATATCCATTCATGAGCTCCAACAAGTAAAGACTTAAACTTGGTGAATCGGCCGCAATTCTAGCTCACATAGGTAGATCTTTAAAATCTGTGTTCTGCAATAAAACACTTTATCAAAAGATCTATTAAGACATAGTCAACCTCATTACACATTGCAGTCTCAAGCACTTACCTCGGGATGGTTAATATTAAAAGTGCTTCAACCACGGAGTGACTTACTCATCATCATTGAACTCAAGATCTAGCGTTGTACTAGACGTTGAGTTGCGCTTTCTTTAACTTGTGATTATTTTCCAAGGGCTTTAACCCCATCCCTTTTGCAGTTTTGTACACCATGTCCCTTGGCATCGCCTTTGTAAAAGGATCCGCCAAATTCACATGTGATCCCGCACATAGCTGTGTCTCACTCCTATGTGCCTTGACTTACCATTGTACACATGGTTATAAGCTTTCGACAGAGTTGATGCACTATCACAATGGATTGATATCGGAGCCATAGGTTTAGGCCATATCGGTACTTCTGACATCAAATCCTTTAGCCATTCCGCTTCTTTACAAGCTGATGCTAAAGCTATAAACTCCGAAGCCATGGTAGAGTCCGTGATACAAGTTTGTTTCTTAGATGCCCATGATATAACACCTCCTCCAAGAAGGAATAACCATCCACTTGTGGATGAATAATCCTCTTGATTAGTTATCCAACTTGCATCCGTATAACCTTCTAATATAGAGGGTTCACTCTTGTAACATAAGCCGAAGCTCATAGTTTTCTTTAGATATTTCAGCACTCGCCTCAAGGCTTGCCAATGAAATATACTAGGATTACTAGTATATCTACTTAGCTTGCCTACCGCAAATGCAATATCTGACCGGGTGTTAGTCATTGCGTACATCAAACACCCAATCACCCTAGCATATTCAAGCTGTGATACAGCGTTCCCAGTATTTGGAACTAATTTCCAACTAAGATTCATGGGAGTGGAAACTGGTGAACAATCCAAACTCCCAAATCTTTTCAACATTTTCTCTATATAGTGAGATTGTGTTAAGGTGATAGTATCACCTTGTTTAATTATCCTAATTCCAAGGATAACTTCCGCTTCACCCATATCTTTCATGGAGAAGTTTATACAGAGGAAAGTTTTTGTTTCTTTCACTTGCCTCAAATCAGTGCCAAATATGAGCATATCATCCGCATATAGACAGATAATGACACCATTACTATGCTCATTAAATTTGATATACACGCACTTGTCTGATTGGTTTATTTTAAAACCATTTTTCAGCACCACCTCATCAAACCTCTGATGCCATTGTTTAGGTGCTTGTTTCAGACCATACAAGGACTTGACAAGTTTACAAACTTTCTTTTCTTGTCCTTTAACAACAAACCCTTCGGGTTGTTTCATATACACCTCCTCCTCCAATTCACCATTCAAGAATGTTGTTTTGACATCCATTTGGTGAATGACAAGATTGTGAATAGCCGATAAAGCAATTAACAATCTTATGGTAGTTATTCTAGCTACCGGTGCATATGTGTCAAAGTAATCAATACCATGTTTTTGTTTAAAGCCTTGTGCAACCAATCTAGCTTTAAACTTATCAATGGTACCGTCTACTTTCATTTTCTTCTTAAAAATCCATTTACAACCGATTGGTGTGCAACCGGGTGGTAAATCACTCAGAACCCAAGTATTATTGCCCATGATTGAATCCATTTCATCATTCACTGCCTCTTTCCAGAAGGAAGCATCTTGAGATTTCATTACCTCTTCAACACTATAACAATATAGTGTTTGAGCTTCAAGGGTCTCTCTTGATCCCTCAACCAAATATAATTGGAAATCAGGACCAAATGACTTTTCTTTTCTGGCCCTCTTACTCCGTCTTATTTCAGGCTCATTTTCATGATTCTTTTCCAGTTCATGTAAGTGTGAATTACTTGGACCGGGATCAACATCCTTTGGCCTAGGAATAGAGGTGAACCGCTTCTCATCAAAAAGAGCATCCCTAGACTCAATAACAGTGTGAACCGCAATTGAGTCATTCGGTTCAATAACATAGAATCGATAAGATTTACTATGTTCAGCATATCCAATAAATATGCACTCTACCCCCTTTTCACCTAACGTTTTTCGTTTAGGTTCCGGTAATTTCACGATTGCCCTACAACCCCATACCCTAAGATAACTCAGTTGGGGTGTTCTTTTGTGCCAAAGTTCATATGGGGTAATCTTATTTTTCTTGTTAGGCACTCTATTAAGAATATAACAAGCAGTTAACATAGCATCACCCCAAAATCCATTACTTAAGCCAGAATTAGACAACATTGAATTAACCATTTCTTTCAAAGTTCTATTCTTTCTTTCAGCAATGCCGTTTTGTTGCGGCGTGTAAGGGGCTGTTGTTTCATGGATTATTCCAACGGATTCAAAATAATTAGGCTCATAATATTCTCCTCCTTTGTCAGTTCTAAGCCTTTTTACTTTCTTTCCGGTTTCGAGCTCAACTTTAGTTTTAAATACTTTGAATTTATCCATGGCCTCATCTTTTGAAAATAAAAGATATATATAACAATATCTTGTGCAATCATCAATAAATGTGACTACATATTTTTTATTTCCAAAAGAAGGAGTGCTATGGAAATCACACAAATCACTATGCACTAATTCAAGCATGTTGGATTTTCTTTCAACATTTTGAAAAGAATTTCTAGTAATTTTATTTAACATGCAAGTTCTACATTTTTCTATGTTAATATTAAAAGAAGGAATTAATCCTACTTTTGACATGTCACTTAATCTACGATAATTGACATGACATAACCTATTGTGCCACAAAGATGAATCACAAACCATATACACAGAATTAACAACTTTGTTTACAACACTTAGTTTGAACATGCCATTACAAAAGAAACCTTAGATAAAATAAACTTATTTGCTTCAAAGCTAAGTTTAAACCCAAAGTTATTTAGGATGCCACCGGAGACAAGATTTTTCCGGATTTGTGGTA